GGGGGCGAGGGTTGGGGAGGGACACACACACACGAAGCCCCGGATTGCTCGGTAGGGTGTTCGTCAGGAGAGGGGACGATTGGCTCGATTCACTGAATAAAAAAAAACACAGTGATCGACCACTTCCTCCCGTGGTCAATTACGCGGGACCCCTTTAAAAACGGAGCAACCGCCCCCCACGTCGCCCCTCCCGAAAGCAGAAGCCACCCCCATCACACCCCCCCACAACAAAGCCCTACAATAGGCCTAGCCTAGCGCCACGCGGATGAAGATACCCATGACGTCACAAGCACCATGCCCGCGTCACCTCCCATCCAGCGGCGAATTTTTTTTACAATGTCGTGTTTTTGCGATCGGTTGAACAACCTAACCGATAACCGGTGAAGTAATCGAGTTGCTTGAATAAACCGCATCGCAGCCCAGACGACGCTTTGTTGATAATAATTTACAGAAACCATTATCGATTCCCAAAGTCACGGAATCGGCAATCGAATCTAGCAACGGCCGTACCCTGCCACCTCCGGTTAGCACGGTTGGCTACGTACGGTGCGAAAGAAGTTCAACATGCGTGTGTTCATACCACTGGTGTAGCGCTTTGCGGCCGTGGTGCTGCTGCTGCTGCAAGGCTGCTGCTACCAGAGACGACCCGTTATTCGGATTGTACCACGCGTCGCCCCGTCACACGACGTTGACGCATTTCGCTCCGCCCGCTGCTGGGGGAGACCGAATTCACTTTCCCAGGACGAAGCTCCCAGCACGTGCAGAGAACAGAGGTCGCAACCGGGTACCCGATACCCGTACCCTACCCGATACCCGGCTACCCGTACCCGGCCGGGTATGCGTACGGGTACCCGTTTGCGACCCTGGTGCGGCCGGGTACGGGTAGGCCGTGAGTCACTGGTGAGTCACCGTTTGTCACTCGTTTCCCAACGTCTTGTCTCTTCTCACAATTCAAGTTCCTAAAATCAACCCACCCGCGCCTGCAACATAGCTTCATCCCAGAGGTCGCAATCGGGTACCCGATACCCGTACACTACCCGATACCCGGCCGGGTAAGGGTAGCCGGGTATCGGGTAGGGTACGGGTACCCGTTGTCGACCCTGGTGCGGCCGGGTACGGGCAAGGAATCAAAACCCGTTTGCGACTTCTGGGAGAGAAGGAACGTCGGGACGTCGCGCCGAACAATGCGCGCTACGACGCTCCGCTCGGAGAAACCACACGGCACGACCGGAGCACCCCAAGCGGGTTTAGTGGTGCTAGTTAGCCTCCCCTAGTCCCTGGCCCCGGTGGGGCGGGGGGGGCGGGGGAGCCCTGGGGGCTCTGTTAGGCTGCCGCGGCCGCCAATCCGACAAGGCGCGGGCTTTCGTCGCGGCCGTGGTGTCGACGAACAACACGGACGAATAAACGGGGCCACAACAACAACAAAACCTCCGTGGCGTAAACATGAGGCGGCCCAAAATAGGGTCTTTGTTTCGGTAAAGAGTAAATATTTAAAAGGTAGGTTCCCGCCAGCTGCCCTTCGATCGCCTCTCCAGAGGAGCTCAACGTGCGCAGGCCCAGGGCTCGCCTAGCGTGGCGCGGCGTGGGCCGCTGTGCGTCAAGAGTTCGGGGGTGGTGTGTGTCTGTCGTGGTGTGTTGTGTATGCCGTGGTGCAGTGTATTAGTGTGTTGTGTATGCTGTGGCATAGTGTGGTGTGCTGTGTGTACCGTGTTGTCCCGTGGGATATTGTGTGCGCTGTGCTGTGGTGTGCTATGGTGTTAATTCTAGATTTTAAGCTTTCGTGACTGCAAGGATTCACATTCTTAGGTTTTTTCGGTAAAGTCACGTAGGTTCCACCTGAAGACGGGAAGCTTGTGTTGCCTCCGAAAAGTCGTGATTTTTATTTTATTTTTATTTTATTTTTATAAATTTTTTACCTACATGACTTTACGGAAAAAAGCTAAGAATATTAATGTGCTGTGGTGTGCTGTGGTGTGATGCGGGTAGTTGCGTGGCGTTCCGCGTGCGCTGCGGTATGTCGCAATGCCTCTACTGTGTTGTCGTATGGCGCGATGCTCGTGACGTCGTGGTGCGTCCTGGTCACGTGCATCGTGTTGCAGCCACGGCATGGCGTCGAATGGGTTTGCCGTGCTGTGCCGTGGCGTGGTGTGGTGCATCGCAGCATGACCAGTGGTGGTGTGCATCACTGTGCGCCAAGTTGTAGTAAGTGTCCTGCGTCGTGGTTTCGGTGCTCCGTGGTGTAAACGATTGTACTGCGCTACACTGTAATGTGGTACGCTGTAGTGCAGATTAATTGGTGGTGCTGTGGTCCACAAGCACAATTATTAAAGCGATTCTTCAATAACTACCGTGTGTGGCCTTACAATAAAAATTATATAATGGGTGACGTTTCAGGCTATGGCCCTTCTTCATGGCACATACACAGAAAGGTCAGTAGAGATAGACTGAGTGGCGTGAAGAGAATTACATTTTAACAATGTTATCCAATATCCAGTTTGAATAGTTACACTATTGCTAGCTATCAAGAAACAGACAAACCCTTTCATCACCAAAAAAATGTAACTCGCATTAATTAACACATTTGTATTAAAAGTAAAAAAACTATTTAAGTAACTTACAGTGCAGCCTGCGTGTTGCTCTGTATTTGGGGCGTATTAAACTGTGGTGTGGCACAATGTCAGAATGAGAATATTTATTCATACTGGAGGAATCCGATGGGCTATGAAGCTCTTCTTACAGATGTTCAGATACAACAACAAACAGTACAAAAATAAATCGCCAAAACACGCACAAATAAAACACTAAACCATCCTCATCCTATAGTAGTAGGTTTTTACCCTTTTAAACTGGTACAAAACTGACACCTTTATTCAAGGCATCATGTTTGCAATAACCACAACACAAGTAGTCAAAAAAGCAAACAAAAAGAAGCAACTCTGATAATGATAATAATAATAAAGGTGTCAGTTTTGTACCAGTTTAAAAGGGTAAAAACCTACTACTATATTTTGCCACTGGTAAAAGAGATCTCATAATGTACATCCTCATCCTACCAGGCAAAGCCCACCGAGGTATTAACTTATTGTTCAAAAGTGATCTGGCCACAAATGACAGCTCAACGAAGTGGCTTACCATTTGGACATTAATAGCAGCACAAATAATGTCAACAGTCTAAACGCATGTTCCTAAACGTGGAGGGAAAAACTGAGGGACACGGAGATAAAATCCACGTGACCACGGGGAGAGAGACACATGCGAGGTAGTTAACATCTCCTAGCCGCCGTGATGATGATGATGATAAGAGAAAGAGACACACCGCAAATTCCAATTATACAGCAGGCATCAAGGGTCGGGATCGAACCTATCACGACCTCCTGTATACCAGGCGAGGTAGTTAACATCTCCGAGGCACTGTGACGATGATGAGAGCGAGAGACACATGCAAACTCCAAATATACAGCAGGTATCAGGGTCAAGATCGAACCCATCATGACCTCCTGTATACCAGGTGAGGTAGTTAACATCTCCGAGGCACTGTGATGATGATGATGAGAGAAACATGCAAACTCCAAATACACAGCAGGCATCAGGGTCAAGATCGAACCCACGCCCTCCTGCGCTTGTACATATCACATTGTAAGCGTAATTAATGCACCTCCTTACGTCGTACACCTGTGCGCATTTTCATTCTGATCATCGTTGCTCAAGGTTTGTTACTCTTTGGTTATTTCGGTAAAGTCACGTAGGTATGAAAAATAAAATATATATTAACCTAAATTAGGAGTCTTCGTGACTGCAGGGATCCATACTCTTTGGTTCTTTCGGTAAAGTCACGTGGGTAGAAAAATAAAATAAATTTAATCACGACGTTTCGGGCGCAACACAAGCGCAAGTTGTTTTCACGGAGCCCTTGCGACAGAGGCCCAGTGCTGCTTCGTGGGTCTCAGCGGGGGGGGGGGGGGGGGGCCTGCAGTTCACCTGCTGACTTCGTAAACGCCGCGGCTGCTACTCCAACAGGCAGCGTTTGCTCAACGGGGCAGAGCGAGCGGGGCAGAGCGAACGGCTCGCAAGCGGAAGGTCGCGAGTTCAAACCCCTGGTTGTCGAGGGGGTCGGGTTGACTCGGCTCATCATCCCTTCTGGAGGGGGCGGTCGATAAAATTTGTACCACTTGGTTGGGGAATTCAACAAGTGAGTTTTTTGTCCTGTCGACTCGCGCACGCCACGAGCGTGTGGAAATCCCTCCGCCGGCTCAGGAGGTGAGCAACAACAGCCTCTCTCAAAGCGCTCGTCTCTCTGGGCGGCGCGTTGCGCTGCTGAGGCACGGCGCTACCGGTGCGTCGCGCATCTCTCTTCGGCCGTGCGGCGTCGTGCGACGACCCTCTGCCCCCCGGCTGCTGGGGCTGGAACCTACGACGGCCGGATCCACGGGAAGCCAGGGGACCTGAGCGCAGAAATCCGCATCTTGCTGCTGCTACCGCCGCCGCCACCTTCCATATCCCGCCAACAAATTAGATTTTGAAACGTCGCGGCCGTTGTGTACGTCAACAGACGTTGACCACTCGCACCCAATCCAATCCCTTCGCTCGAGCGCCTCACGGGGGGATGGGGTTTGGTTTGCGAGTGGTTGCGTTGGGCGGTTGGGGAGAACCCTCTCGCCGAATCGGTTTGCGCGCGGGGCGCAAGCGGCGCGTGCCCAGCGGTCGTCGAGCCAACGTATCTAATATTCAGCGCCGGGAAGGAAGAACTCTCCCGCCAAGAGGGCTAAGCTGCACCGCGCCGCGCCTCCGCTCATCTCGCACGCCACCTCCGCCGCCCCCCAATCAAGTCTCCGATGACCAATTTACGGCAGAGCGCTGCGCGACATCCGCCGGCACGGGCACAAAGCGCGTGTCTCCGCGTCTCTCCCCGGGGGCCTGATTAGCCCGCTCAGGTGCGGCCGGGCTGGGGCCGCACCTGAGCGGGTCGAACGCAAGTAAAACCAGTCGCCCGGGTGCGCGCGCACCCCGCCTCTCTCTCTCTCTCCCTCCGTCTCCCGACGCAGACTTCGCAACGCAAGCAAGACGCGCGGTGGTGCCGGCTGGCCGGCGCACGGCACACTCAGGACAAGCGCACGCAAACAGCTCGCACGCGGGGAGGGGGAAGGGAGACACGCGACATCCTAGGCGGGCGGTCCAGCCCGAGCTGGAAAACGCTCCGCCGCAATTTGCCAACAAAGCCTGCGGCCGCCGCCACAGGCCCGGCCGTGACGACCGACCGTCACCACACCGAGCGGCCCCGCAGCGGTAACGACGGTGGCTCTGGCGGTGGATTGATGAGAGAGACAGGGGAGGGGCCCGTCCCTGTGGCCGTGTTTACCTTGGGGCAACAGGGCCATGCTTACGCAGCTAAACCTGCCCGGGCAGGCCGGCGGGCTGCGGGGGGCTGTGAGCTACGGTGGGCGGTGGGGTGGCGGCTCGCAGACCGGTGGGAGGCCAAGAGGAACCCGGGAGCAAATTAGCACGCACCTTCCTTGGAGCACTTTCTTTCATCAACCACCCCCATTCCCCCCTCCCCCCACCGCCCATATCTCCCGGCAGTTCCGTCCCGTCGGAACCCCTCGAGGCGCGAGGTGCACGAACGAGCACACGCGAGCGCACGCACGTACACGCGCACGCACACACGCACGGGCGCGAGCTGGGGGGGGGGGGGGGGGGGGGGAATGTTTGGCCGGAGCGGAGCAACAACGATTCCATGGTCACTGCTCTGACAATGTTGGCGGTGTGATCACCAGTGTAAAATACCACGGTTGTTCATCGCGCACACACACACACGGCACAGCACCACGGTAAACACATCACTACGCAGTGCGCCGGGACAAACCCTACACCGTGACACAACAACAATGTACTATGATACACCAAAGACAAAACAAAGATCCTCCGGACAGCCTGAGCAGACTGTTGGGGACAAGTGCTGTTCGCTACCGTCTCGTGTAGATGTTCACACACCACACCAGGTACTGATTTGAGACTGAGTGAACCTAGGAGAGGAGGCCTAGGACCCAGTTCAGATAATTGCCAAAGATGTTGGCCACGAGTGGGAATCAAACTCGGGTTGCCGGGTTCGTAGCGCAGTGCGTCATCTGCTAAACTACCACTCCCCACAACTATGATACACCACACACACACACAGCGTTACAGACGGACGTAAAAACAGCACTGCGTAACACACACACACTCACAGGACGCTAATCCATGACACGCCACAGTAACATTTATGCCACACCACACACAAAGA